TATCCAATGGATATAATAAACATTTACTTATGCTTAAATAAGTTATTATTCAGCTCTTTTAAAGAGATTGTAACATAACCTAACTTTTACTAAATCTTTATTAACTCGGCTCTCAGATTGAGAAAACTTTTATAATTTTCAGCAAGGTACTGATAAATCTGAATCTATTAATTCATATTAGTTTCATCACGTTACATTCGGGCCCAAAAATGTATGTAATCGTTTCAGTCTCTCATGTCCACCCTATCCCCAAAAAGGGTGACCGGTCGGACCCCTCGAATTACAGACCTATCGCGATAACTTCCTTGCTTTCCAAGGTGATGGAGCGAATCATAAACATCCAACTTCTTAAGTATCTTGAGGATCGCCAGCTGATCAGTGACCGGCAGTACGGTTTCCGTCATGGTCGCTCAGCTGGCGATCTTCTTGTATACCTCACACATAAATGGGCTGAAGCCTTGGAAAGCAAGGGCGAGGCTCTCGCTGTGAGCCTTGACATCGCGAAGGCCTTCGACAGGGTCTGGCATAGGGCACTTCTATCGAAGCTTCCAGCATACGGGATCCCTGAAGAGGCGATTAAAACTTGTGTCTGAAGTGGAGAACTCTCTGGGGCGGGTCTCCAAGTGGGGTGAACTGAATTCAGTTCAGTTCAACCCATTGAAGACACAGGTTTGCGCGTTCACTGCGAAGAAGGACCCTTTTGTCATGGCGCCGGAATTTCAAGGAGTATCCCTGCAGCTTTCCGCGAGTATCGGGATTCTGGGGGTCGATATTTCGAGCGATGTCCAGTTTCGGAGTCATTTGGAAGGTAAAGCCAAATTGGCCTCTAAAATGTTGGGAGTTCTCAACAGAGCGAAGCGGTATTTCACGCCTGGACAGAGACTTGCGCTTTATAAAGCTCAGGTCCAACCTCGCGTGGAGTACTGCTCTCACCTCTGGGCCGGGGCTCCCAAATACCAGCTACTTCCATTTGACTCCATACAGAAACGGGCTGTTCGGATGGTCGATAATCCTGCTCTCGCGGATCGCTTGGAACCTCTGGGTCTACGGAGGGACTTCGGTTCTCTCTGTGTTTTATACCGTATGGTCCATGGGGAATGCTCTGAGGAATTATTCGAGATGATTCCCTCATCTCATTTTTATCATCGCACCTCCCGCCATCGGAGTAGAGTTCATCCATATTATCTGGAACCGCTGCGTTCATCGACAGTGCGTTTCCAAAGATCTTTTTTGCCACGTACCATCCGGCTTTGGAATGAACTCCCCTCCATGGTGTTTTCCGAGCGCTATGACATGTCCTTCTTCCAACGAGGCTTGCGGAGAGTACCTACTTTATGGTAGGCAGCGGCTTGGCTCTGCCCCTGGCATTGCTGACGTCCATGAGCGACGGTGACCACTTACCATCAGGTGGGCCGTATGCTCGTCTGCCTACACGGCAATAAAACAAAAAAAAAAGGTAGAAAAGCGGACCAAACCGGGAAAACGCTTGGAAGAAAAAAAAGACACTTCTCGAGTCATTTGAATGCAACAACTTTAACGTAGGATTAAAAACGAAGGACACAATCGCTTGATATTGCGTAGCCCAAATATATATCTCAAATTTAACATACTGCTGGGTACATATACAAAAACAATCTAACGGATAACAAAGGCTGGTGAAGCCACAGCGCGGAACGTACCATGATCCTGAGGGTGGTCATAGCGTTAGCCTTTTGTGCGCCGCACACGCACACGGCAAGGATTCTTATTATCGTGCCCACACCGGCATACAGCCATCAGCTGATCTTCCGCCCAATAATCGAAGAGCTAACCAAGAACCATCAAGTAACATTTATAACCACGAACCCAGCGTATCCGAAGGGAGATACCCCACGGAACCTCACGGAAATCGACGCGGGTCCGATCTCTTATTCGCTGTGGAACCAGGAAGTTTCAATAACTAAATTCGGGAAAGACAACTTTATTTACGACGGCGTAAATGTTATTTTTGAGGTTATGCCGAAGATATTTGCAGAGCAACTTCGTTTGGCGGATGTTGAGAAATTGATCCGTAATGCCCAATTCGATCTGCTAATTTTAGAAGCTTGGTTTCGACCGATATTGATCTGGTCGTACCTGTACAAAGTTCCAGTGCTGCAGATCAGTTCCATGGGCACTAGTCCCGGCAACCCTGACACCATGGGCCTGCCCGACCATTGGACTTATCACCCTTCGTTATTTCATCAGAAGATCTACGACCTAACGACCTCGGAAAGGATTAGCGAAATGCTTAGATATCTGCACGTGCAATCGGTTTTTGATGCGAACGAGGCCAAAGAGGATGAGATTTTAAAAGGTATTTTCAATGATGCACCTCCTCTTAGGAGTTTAAGGAGGAACGTGGACGCCATGCTCTTGAACTTGAACCCGTTGTGGGACAATAACCGTCCTTTGCCGCAGAACGTTCATTACATCGGGAATATCAATCGTAATCCTGCGAAGGAATTGCCAAGGGTGAGTTTTGTGGTCTCACTTGAGGTTTTGTTTTATTCGTAAATGCTGACGGGCATATGACCCGGATGGAAGTCAGTCAAGGTCGTGCCCATCGCTGAGGGTTCTCTCACAGGCGGTATTTCAGCGGCGCGGTTAAGCTGGAAAAGTACAGCTTGAATTAGAGAATACTAAACTCGTCACTCACCTGATGTTTTTTTAGTCCTCGTCCTCTCGAGCGGTAGGGTTCCTCAATAGTTATTTCAGCGGCGAACGGGGGGCGAGTACTTTTAATCTATATATTAATACGTGAAGCAAAAACTTTGTATCCCTTTTTACGAAATTTGCGCGGACGGAGGAGTATGAAACTTTCCACACTTATAGAGAATATAGAGAAGAAGTGCACAATGCTAATATTTTTTTTAAATAATGCATAAAAGATACATTAAATCAATAAAGAAAACATTACACACACTACATACCATGTATTTGACGCACACACGCATGCATACTGTTTATTGTCAAACTTTTGTTCTTGACGTCTGTTGTCAAATTGAGAATAGATTAAATATTGTTTGTTATAGTTAATATTTTTTATAGTGTAGTCATGGCGAAATTTGTGATTATAGAAGTATAAAATACAATCATAATATTGTACAAACTTACAATTCCAATTAGTTATAGTCGAATTTCGACTACTGCGGGACCTCTAGTATTAATAAAAGCTCTTGTATTATGCGATAGCGGTGCAAAAAACGGGCTTAACTTACTTAGTAACACTCGTGTATTGCGTGATGCTCGTAGAGAAACGGGAATGCGAATGTGTCGTGGGTGAGTTCAAAATTCAAAATTACATTCTTTGGCGATCGATTTATGAAAGAAAATCTTACGTCTTCAAGGAGGATTCAATG